AACAGAGATGGCTCTTCTCATGATAATAATTCATGAAGCTGCATCATAGATGTTGTCAAATAAATAAATAATTGATCAAAATGTCTTGATCCTGAATAGAATTTACATCTCTTAGACTGAATCAACAGAGAAATGATTGAAAAGAACCCCAAGATGAAATGTAAAAATTCTAAGTTTTTTCTAGTGAAAATTGTTGTTCCCCAAGAACTCAAACCAGAAGCCAAATGAATACACAATTGTTCTACAACTGAAGAACAAATGTGAGAAAGCAACAATTTAGTTAGAACTGAAGAACAAATCTCAAAATAACTCAGCCTACAAAACGATGTTCATACCAGATTTGGAATAATAAAGACGATACCAATTCACAAACTCCTTCAAACCTGTCTCCAAATTGGTGGTGGGCTTGTAACCGAGCTCCTTCTGTGCCAGAGTGATATTAGCATGAGTGAAAGGAACGTCACCGTTTCTCGGCATTGGAAACACCATTCTCCTAGCCTTCTTGTCCAGCAACTTCTCCAAAATGTTCACAAGTTCATTCACAGCCACCGGAGAAGTATTCCCAAGATTGAACACCCGCAATTGAGCCTTCCTCTTCTTTCCGCCGCTCCCAGTGCTCCTCTCCGCCGTATCTAACGCACCCAAACAACCCTTCACAATATCTTCAATGTAAGTAAAATCCCTAGCCACAGATTTCTGATCCGCCCCTTCAAAAACCTTAATCGTTTTCCCCTTCAGAATATCCTGAGTGAAAAAGAAATACGCCATATCCGGTCGTCCCCAAGGTCCATAAACTGTAAAGAATCTCAATCCAGTAATCGAAAGCCCATAAATGTGATTATAAGTATGTGCAATTTCCTCACCAGCCTTCTTAGTTGCAGCATATAAACTCGCGGGTTGATCCGTACGATCCTTCTCCGAAAAAGGCACTTGAGAATTAAGACCATATACCGAACTAGAAGACGCCCAAACAATGGCCGGCTGCGGATTAGCCGATTTACAAACCTCGAGAACACTCACCAATCCCGCAATATTGCTTTGCACATACGAACTGGGGTTTTGCATCGCATAACGAACGCCTGCTTGAGCCGCGAGGTGCATTACGTGAGTGAATTTAACCAATTCGAAAAGCTTCTTCAGCAGAGTACCGTCATTGACGTCACCCTCGACGACAAACACTTCGGCACGGTCGAGTAAGGCGGCGCGTGAGCGTTTGAGAGAAGATTCATAATAGGAATTGAAATTGTCAATGCCGAGGACTCCATCACCGCGGCGCTTGAGTGCCAGTGAGACGTGAAGGCCAACGAAGCCGGCAGCACCGGTGACCAAAACTCGGCGAGAATGGGAGTGGGAGCGGGCCGATAGACGGATCCGATTCTCCCAGACGGGGCCCGCTTGGAGAAGGCGGCGGGTGGGATCGGAGGAGGATCGAGGGAAGAGGAAGAGGAAGAGAGCGAGAAAAATGAAAGTCCAGAGAGCGAGGAGTTTAGTTCTGGTGGGGAAACGGGAACGGTGAAGATATGGAGGTCTGTCCATTGTAGCCTTATGATCTTCCCTTTCTCCCCCAACCAAAATGAACCCATTTCTAATTTTCTATTTATTTATTTATTTTTATAATCTTTTTTTAAAATTAAAATATAAAAAATAAAATTAAAAAAAAAAACCCATATATTTTATGTAATAAGACTTGGATTTTTTTTTATTTTCTATTTTAAATTTAGTTTTAATTTAACTGTTTATGAAAGCTTTGACTTTTTTAAAAGTACAATAATTCAGTTTGAATATTTGACGGTATCTAACTAAAATGGAACAATATTAAATTTCAATTTTTTTAAAAATAAAAAGTTAATATTACACCATGGGTGGGCCTCTTATTGGGCTTGAATATCGGCCCTACACGGCCCAACTCAGAACTTGGGCCACTGCCCCGCCACTCTTTTTGTGGGGTTGCAATTTGTAATAATTCACATCAAAATCTTTATTTATTTTATTTTATTTTTCATTGTAGTTTTCACCTGTGGTAAGTATTTGATATGAAAAGGTGAATTGCAAAGGTAAAAACTAAAAAGAGGTGAAGAAAAATAAAAAGGAGAATTGGTAAAAATATTGGTTAAAAAGTGCAATAAATTGATTTGGATATTAGAAAACATTCAAATCCTACCTCTACCTATTTTACATAAAACCATACCTAATTCAACCTAAATTCCAACTCTTAATTTTTAGCCCAATTATTTTAGTTAAAATTAAAGTGATCCCAAACAAAAGAGGAGTACATGAACCGATACCACGTTCCAATGGGGTGACTAAAAAAAAAAAACTTAAAATAATTAAAAGTCGATCACTTTTCTTTTTTATTATATATCTATAATTTTCTGTTTACATAGTCACCGAACGTGGAGATTTCAACAATTTCATGTTATAAAATAATTTATAAGATTGAGATCTTTCGGTGCCTTTTTCCATCCAATCTCTTACTCCTAAATCCTAATCATCTTCTTCTTTCCTTCTATCTCTTACTCAAAAAAAAAAAAAAAAAAAAAAAAAAAAAAAAAAAAAAAAAAAAAAAAAAAAAAAAAAAAAAAAAAANAAAAAAAAAAAAAAAAAAAGCATATTTACCTTTTTTTTTTTCCTTTTTACAATTTTTTTTGTAGATAAAAAATAATAATAATTCACGTCCACAATAAAAAATAAATATATAGTACATAAAAATAAATAAATTATGTAATAAGTCCAATAAAATAATTTTAACCCTACATATACTTTACTTTACATGTTTATTAATAATAAATCAATTTTTACTTGAGACATAATATGTATACAAATATATATATACATATATTATTTAATTAGGTGTTAAGGATGATGTTTAGTAATAAATTATAGTTTACCATATATATTATATTTGATATTTTATTATAAGACAAATATCTAATATTTGCCTTATTATCATAGGTATTTTTCCATTTATTGTTATTTTCATTTATTACTATTTTTTATATCCTTGTAATTCATTTGATTATAAATAAGATAACTTTCACATTATTTAGGTGTGGTGGATTAATCAAACATTCACAGTAGGTCACAATCCCAAAGCCAAAATTTATGCGTAAAAAAGGGCCCTCCCTCAATAATAGAAGCTTTTTGGTAATTCATGATTTGGTTGGGTATCTTTATTATATATGCATTCCAAATTGTAAATATCTTTACTTTGGAGTAAAAGTAATAATCATCATTTTTCATCTCAAAAACACACACTAAAGTATTTTTTTTATTTCTAAAAAGATGATGGAAAATGGAATCATCATTGTCCTTAAAAATCATGTTTTGGGTATAATTTTGTAAGAAATAAATTAATTTTTTTAAAAACCTTGTAAAAATATAATAGCAAGCGATTGGATGACACGCGCGTTGATGGAAGTATAGTACACCGTGGGTTCTGTAAGCTGTAGCCCATTAAACGGACGAGGCCCACGTAAGCCCAAAGATTGAAGTAGAGGGCCCACTTGGTGTTCACAGTGTGTTCGTGTGTTAGGGTCATTACAAGTGGGCCCCAGTGTCCCAATATATTTTAATTTCATATTTCATTCAATCATTCCAAGCCGCGCAATTTACTCCTTTGATTATTCCACTCTCACCTCTTTATTTACTCAACATTTTATTTTTTTTTCCTTTTTCTTATTTTATCAAAAAAACAAAAAATCCATTTTAATTATTTTTCTTTATAATACGATTAGTCCCATCTTCTATATATATATATATATATTATATAATTTTACCAAAATGTCGCAAACAAACAAAACAGATAAATCTTTTTGACATGATATTAGCGATCATGCGACCACAAGCTACACACCGAGACACCCAGACGAGATGATCCTGACCACTCATCCCAATCAAAATTGGAAATACGTAATTTGGATAAGATTAAACAGGGTTCAACTTCGACGGACCTAGGCAGTACGAATGTCCATTTGGGAGCAACCCCTGGCCCCATTTTCCACGTCAGCTTTTTTTTTTAATTTCCTAAAAAAAAAAAAAAAATTGTTTGAAAATTGGAGGCTCAAGAATGCCCTCGTTTTAAGGACTGCCCCCGGAATTTAGGACACCGAGGCAGTCCCACAGGCCTTGTCACCCACTTCGTGTCCTTAGCGCTCCCATTGTTTCCCATTTATTTGATCGTATTTTTCTATAACATTTATTAATCATTAAATTATATTTAATAACCATTCATTTCTCTTCAATAAAATATTCAGCCATGTCCAGTAGTACTATTCAATGGTTGTCTCTCGAAAATAATTAAACCATATAGTTAGCTATACAAAATAATGAGAAATTATAAATGTTTTAATTTAGCAAAAAAGAAAAAAAAAAGAAAAAAGTTTTAACCCTCATTTATTATGCACTGTAAATTTTATATTTGAGAAATTATATGTCCGATCCAATCATTATTACAGACACATCATGCATGCGTGGATAACAATATTATTTACATGTCATTATTCAATCATTAATATAATTAATATAATTTGAAGGAGTCCAATTGTAATGGAATAAAATTAAATTTTGATCCAGTTTATACACATACATAAACGGCCAATGGAAAGAAGCAAGGGGAGCCGTGTGATGTAACGAGATAAGTGATGATGGGGATGATGGGGATGATGGGGATGATGGGGATGATGGTGATGATGGGGATGATGATCCCAATACCAGAGGAGTAGGCCCCACTCTTTCCCCCGCTTCCCTTCCCATCGTCACTTTAAAGAATCTAACTGTCATCCATTAACCCGCCGATCAATGTTTTCTTCTTCTTTTTATTTATTTTTTCTTTTTTTTGAAAAACAAAAAAAGCAATAATAATAAAACCCATAAATTTTTAAAATTTTGAAATTATATTCCCTTGACGTAAACAACACTACTTTTTTTATTTTTTATTTTTTATTTAATTTTTCTCCGTTTGTCTTATAAATACATGTGGAGCTCACAGTATTGGCATTTTGTAGCCTTCCTCGACCCCCCAAATGGAACCTCTGGTACTTCCGCCCAACGTCTTCTCCGCCCTAGCCCTTTCTCTCCTCCTTCTCTTCCTCACTCCGGCCGCCGCCTGGCGTCCATGGCCTCGCCTCGCCGAGTCCAACGCCTCCATTGACCCGCTCGTCGGCGACTCCAAAAAGTTCGAGGGATCTTCTGAGTTCGTCCACTTGAAGTACCACATGGGACCTGTTCTCACCACTAATATATCGGTCCACATTATCTGGTACGGCTCGTGGCAGCGGAATCAGAAGAAGATCATCCGTGAGTTCATCAACTCCATCTCCGCCGGCGCTTCCAAATCCCCGTCCGTCTCCGGCTGGTGGAAAACCGTTCAGCTCTACACGGACCAGACCGGTAACAATATTTCCAGCACGGTCCAGCTCGGCGAAGAGAAGAACGACCGGTTTTACTCGCACGGAAAATCGCTGACTCGGTTGTCGATTCAGTCGGTGATTAAAAGCGCGGTGACGGCGAAATCCCGACCGTTGCCGGTTAATGCTCGGAATGGACTGTACCTTTTACTGACCGCCGATGATGTTTATGTAGAGAATTTCTGTGGGCAGGTGTGTGGGTTTCATTACTTCACGTTCCCTTCGATTGTAGGGTATACGCTGCCGTACGCTTGGGTTGGGAACTCGGAGAAGCTTTGTCCGGGCATTTGTGCTTATCCGTTCGCGGTGCCGAGTTACATGCCAGGGGTGAAGGCCATGAAATCGCCAAACGCCGATGTTGGAGTGGACGGAATGATCAGTGTGATAGCTCATGAAGTGGCGGAGTTGGCGTCGAACCCGCTGGTGAACGCGTGGTACGCTGGGGCGGACCCGATTGCGCCGGTGGAGATTGCCGATCTCTGTGAAGGGATTTACGGAACCGGAGGAGGTGGGTCGTACACGGGGCAGTTGATGGACGGACACGATGGGGCCACGTACAACATGAATGGGATCAGACGTAGGTATTTAGTCCAGTGGGTTTGGAATCATGTGGTAAATTACTGTACTGGCCCTAATGCACTGGACCAGTAGTAGAGGAATATTTCTCTTGTTATTCCTTATTTTTCTTTTTTCAATTTGAAAATTTCTGTGCTTTTAATTTGGGAGGAGGGAGCTATATTATTGGAGTGGGCTTTTGGGCCTTGTGAGGACTGGCGGTTAATTAGTATCTTACTTCTTAAAGGCTTGGTTAATCACACGTGTTAATAAAAAGATTTCCCTATACTAATTTTCTATTTTAATTTTGGTTCATTTAATTTTTTAACTTCCTTTTTTAGGGTTCGCCTCAAGGCTTTAAAACACGTCCTTTACCTTTACTTTAAAGGGTGTTTTGGGACATCAAAATTATTATAATAATAAATATGTAGTCCATGATAAAGTAAAATATCGGAGTGAAGGAGGGTGGGGTTGAAAGTAGCGAAAGAAGGCAGGGACTGAACATGTCGGTAAAAACACACAAATTATTAAAGTACTTTCTTTATAAATAAATAAATAAATAAATAAATGTTTTACTCAAAAGTTCACATTTCAAAGTCTCTGTGTTTGAATTATTTTTATTTATTTTTAGCGGAAAGCAGAGATGCAAATAATAATAATAATAATCCCTTTTCCATGGAAATTACCAAAGAACCACAGAGCAAATTACAAAATGAGACGCTTAAAGGGAGTAGTAGGTAATGTGTTTGAAAACAAGAGCCAATGGGAACCCCACACTATTCCTTTCTTTTCTATTCAAACCATAAATAACCCCAAATCTCCAAAGCAGACCAAAGATGTTGGAATACCTGAACACATGTACTAAACATGATTCTATACGTTTAGGGATGCATTAGAGAGACTAATCATAGAGGTCATCTGTCAGTGAGTAGTAGAGAAAAAGAGGGATGCCTAGCCATCATTTGTCCTGTCATAAATGGAATGGGAGCCTACCAACAACAATCCAATCCAATCCCCCATTTCATATTGGACTTTCCCTTTCACGCTGCAGATTCCTTATACCATTTCTTGAATCTCATTTTATAATCTTGCCCAAACAATAATCAGTTTTTTAAAACTAAATCAAGACAAGGATCAAGAGGGCGAGAACATCAAACCAAAAAGCTCAGTTTTCGGTCACATCACAAACAACACTGCTTTTCAGTGTCGTCAGCAAACAACCCTTTGGTTGCTCCAGTGTCAGCAGCAAAGAACCTTCTTTATCACATCTTTTTGGGACAATTTAGGTCCCTTCGATGTGCAGAGGGTCACAAAAAAGTGCTTTAATCTACACACACACACACACACACACACACACACACACACCAGTGCTTTCAAAATTTCAGTTTCTGTGTATCAGTTTGCACACTTATTATTTAGAGACCTCTCTGACCATTGTTACTGCTGCTTCCAAATTACTCCTGTTTTCTGAAGTTATTTCAAGATGGTGGCTGAAAGGAAAGGATGTACTGCTTTGAAAGAATGCCTCCACACCTATTTTCTAGTTGATTTCATTAGAAGGGTACTCGTAGAACTTTAAGACAGATTTGGAGACTGTACAACATTTGGTTTCTCTCTATTCAGAATTATACATGTTCTTACTAATTTTTCTACTTTTTTATATCAATTTAGATGGGGCCTCCTGCTTTTGTTACTTCCCCTCTCTGATTGTTTGGAAGAAGAAAGGAGATGAAAAATAAGAACAGAAGGGAATGCCATAAAGAGAAACAGAAGGATCTTCGAGCATAGAACACGATTAGTTAAAGCCCAGAGAAACTAATAAATTGATGGCACGGTGTTTCTTAGGATCCAACAATAGCATCTCATTTACCTTTGAGCTAAAACAAAATTCATCCTCGGTTTTTCACTCAAATGACATACTTAGTATAAACATAATCAATAGACACTTGAGACTTTTCAGGTCACCATACCAAATGCAGAACATCAATCAAAAGATTAAATTATGATTTATCACCTTTAAGCTTCTCATTCTGAAGATACTTCGAAACTCCGTATGCAACAGTTCCAGCCACAAAAAGTGAGACGGTTGGGGTAAAGGATGGATACAAATATTTGACGAAGAACTTATCCCAATTCTCTGGTAAGAAACCTGCAAAAGTGCACATCAACCAATTAATTGTGGTGGTAAAAGTGAAATGAAAATACCTAACTGTGGATATTGTATTCATCAAATCAATTAGACATCAAATTTTCTAACTGAAAATAGGCTGAAAAGCAAAGAATATATTTCCCATATTTAGAACCATTAAAGAATTCAATGGTATAAAACTAGCAAAAGTTCACAACATATTGTCCACGTGAAACTATGAAAGGTGCTAGAAACATAAGAGAGCTATCACTTTGTATTAGTTTGATGGCATAATTAACCAGAAATGAAGTACGTTTTACAATAAATATACGCCTGAAGCATCAAACCATTGAACTCTAAACAACGGATTTTAATCAAGAAAGTTCCAAAATAATGGTTTTGGTAAAACCCATAGCTTTAACATGAGAGTTAAATAACAGACTCTGAACAACAGAACTTCTGAGATAAATATAATGGACATTGCCCAATCTAATCCAGCTACATTAGGTTACAGATTTCAAATGGAAGTTAATGCCAGGATGATATTAGCATCTTATTTTGATTGGAAAACCCTAAATCCAATGCATAACATTAGCTTAGTCATGAATTGTTATGAAATGTTGCCTTATATTAACACTCCAAATATGCACAATGAGACTGATAATGGTGATTGAAGAACCGCCATGGAGGAGGCATAGATCATAATATCATTCATTTCATAATTTCAATCTTTTTCAACAGAAACTGAAAAAAATTCAACCCATCATCACAGTTCGCCTAATCCACTTCTTAAAGAAAAATCCTCTTCGGATCTGATTTTAACTACTAACATGTTTCAGATCAACAACACAATTACTGGAAACCCCAACAAGAAAAAGAAAATTCCACCATCGCAAATGGAAACAGTACAATTCCGAAGTTCAAGTTCCAATTTATATAATTATGGAAGAGAATTCGTACCAGATGCCGCAAGCACAATCCCCTCGACGAGTATTACAGCACCAAGACCCAACCAAGTAAGAAGAAAATAGCTCTCATTCTTGCCCTGCTCCTTAATTGCTTCTTCATCTACTTCTCCGACAAACACCGGTTTCTCCACCGGTGAGCGCCGAATAATCGATGCCCTTTGCCGCTTACCCTTCTGCTTTCCCTTAGAGGTTGTAGCCTTTGGACTTGATTTGCTTGAAGTCGTCGATTGAGACGATAACGAGCCGAACCCTTGAGCAGACGAGGTCCCAACTGCAGCATCGTCGACAGTTTTCGAAATGGGCTTCTCCGATTCCGATGGGCTCTGCGATTTGATGATGAATTTTGGCTTAGAGGGGAAATAGAGAGGTGTTTTGGGAAGATGATAGGGTTTTCTGGTGAAAGAAGAAGGAGAATGGTGGATTATTTGTAGCGCCATTTTCAGTTTATTTGGTTAAGGTTGTTTCAGATTAGAATTATGAAATCTATCTCTCTCCCGTAGAAAGTTCCGATAATTGCATTTTGACCCCTTCAAGTTCCTAAATTCCCCCCACGCCCCCAAGTACAAAAGGAAGGGTTTGTTCCCATAACTTATTAAATATTTTTTAAAATTCACAAATTTTAAAAATATTTGATAGACACACACCGAAAATACAACCACATAATATAGAGACTAAAATTGTAATTAAATTATCCTTTCGAACAAAAAAAAAACATGTTCATTTATACCTAAAAATTTGAAGGGATCAAAACGTATTCATTTCAGAATAACCCAGAAACATAAAAAATGGAAAAAACCAAATTTTCATTAAGTTAAACTCAAATGTTTCTCAACAATGAATGGTATGGTTTGCCAACTCTGAGCTTCCAATGAAACTTGGAGGACCAAAAATGGAAGAAGAATAATTAAGGGGAAAAAAGAAGGCGAAAGGGCTTGTTTGTGGCTACACTACGAGTTTTCCACTGATATCCATTTCCTTGCAAAGACTGGTTATATCAGGAATTACTCCTCCATCACAATACCTTATGATCCCATCTCCCAAGAGATCCTTTAATAAATCAACTGGTTCTTTGGAGCCTCCATGTTGTAAGAACTTTGTTCTCAAAGCAGTTCCTGTGCTTCTTGAAAGAGGATCTTCCTGACAAAGCTTCTCCCATATGGTTGCGGCAAAACATTTGGCGTACAGGTAGCTGTAGTAACCTGTAAAAAGCATACCTGTGAATGTCTCGCACCAGAAAGAAACGGGGGAAAATTAAGTAAAAACATTATAGTATATAGAAACTGCTATTCGGGGAGTGGGTGAGGAGACAGGTGTTTTGGTTATTTTGAATTACAAACTATGCGAGGATTAGTATCTGCTTCATTGATTTGGGGATGGATTGGGGAGTCCCACATTGATTGGAGAAAAGAACGAGTACTAGAGAGAACGTTGTCCCGAAGGTGGGTGGATTGTGGGATCCCACATCGATTGGGGAGGAGAACGAAACATTTTTTATAAGGGTGTGGAAACCTCTCTCTAGCAGACAAGTTTTAAAAACCTTAAGAGCAAGCCCGAAAAGGAAAACACAAGAAGACAATATCTGCTAGCGGTGGGCTTGAGCTATTACAATATCAGTCACCGAAGTTTAAAATTGAGAAGGAAAAATATATCACTGAAACACAGGAATAGATCAACTTTTGCAACCTGCACCATAAGTCAGGAGGTGAAAAAATCGGGTCTGCCAATGAGTGCCATCCACATGCTTCCAACTGGTACATTGTCTTTTTAGCTCAGCAACAACAGAACTAGTGTCTCTCTCTAAAGTTAATCTTTCACCAAACAGTGTTTGATCAATTAAAGCATAAAGAATCTGGAAATCAAAAAACCAAGTAAAAATTGGTTGGTTGGATCAGATAAAAATATAAGATATACCAGTTAACAACACCATCGACATGTCACCTGACGCTGCAGTTCAGTGGCTGCAAACATCTTTTTGGCACCCTGCATCGACTTAACAAGCTTTTCAGGAATTACTTCACCAGTTGAATAGTGCTTAGCAAATGTTCTCAAAACACGATAATCTGACGCGTAGTACCTAGTCATCCAATAGCGGTGACGGCTATTATTAAACAACAACAAACACAGCTGATATGGAAACAAGACTCTGAGAGAAGGGTTTTGTCAAGTTATACGTACAAGATTACATATTTATAAGAGAGGAATTATATAAATTTGTTGATTTATTATCTCCTACTAAAAATTTAGACAAGGATATTTTGGACATTTTTTTATCCCATATTTAATGTTCATATCTGATATTTGATTAATGGACGTCTTTCTTATGAAGGCCATAGTGCAAACACTGCACAACTTAACTAGAAGAATAATTTAAGCATAGACGTGGTTCAAAACTGTTATATGATCTTCGTAAACCAAAAGGCAAGCAAATAAACTGAATTTTTACTCACTCAAATAGGTTTGAAGGTGTCTCTGCCAGATCAAGAACCACTCTTGTACCTGAAAAATGTTGATATTCCTGCAGTAGATGAGGATTGATGAATTAAATATTAAAAGTAACAAAAGGATTGTCTGTTCAAGAGTACAGAATCAGCACATACTGTTCTTGAAAGCAGTGAATGAAGGGCATGCCCAAACTCGTGGAAAAGAGTTTCAACTTCCGAATGATTGAGCCTCACATTTGATCGTTCACGTGATCCAGAAAAATTACAAACAAGAGCTACAACCTGCACATAAACAATACAAACTTCTGATTTGGGAGGTCACCAAATTAGTCTACTCCTTTACATTTCTAAAAAACTTTTCCTTAGGACCCTTCTCGAATGGATATATTATTAGCATTGAATAATCAACTTTTGGTTACAAGCTGAAAGAGAATATGCAAGATCATCTAATTAGCCTGACATTAGCAAACAAAAATCATGAGCACATTTTCAAACAAGGCATACCCCATCGTAATAATAAGAATATCAAACCCATCACCATGCAACCCATTCTCTATCTTAGCCTATAAGCATAAGTAGATTTTTCACATTCTTGATTACAGCATGGTATATGATAGCTAACAGAGGATTACGTGTCTATAAGCATAAGTAAAAACAAGAATTACGTGTCTATAAGCATACGTGTCTATCCAATTTTGCAAAAACAAGAATTGAAGCATCACAAAAATGTTTGATCAGATACAGTTGCAGCCGAATAGGTGTAGTAGGAAGTATTATAGAAATCAAAAGTGGTAACACGTACAAAGTGATAATCTAATACATACAGGAAGTTGGTATTCCATTTCTGAAACCTTGCAGCCTCCCTGAATTGCAAAATGAGCACAACCAGGATACTTTCCTTTTCTCGAGTACAAATCTAGGTATAAGTATCCCAAGTCACCCTGAAACAGAAATATGGTGGCACTATGAGTTTAGGGGAGTACTTATGATGTTTGGGGGGGGTGGTTGATGCTGGATCCGAGCACCATAACTCACACAATATATAAACGGAGCCCCCAAGGATTTTGATTCAAGAGACTCTTGGTCATGTACATCTTTTTAAGGTTTGATATAATAGTTTTTCATTCCAAGACTACAAACGTGTGGTTAAATCTTTGATCTCAACCATAACAATTTATACATGAATATATGAATGACAAAAGCTCATCACCACAGTCTCCACTACGTATCAGGGGAACTAGTGTGTCAGAAAACTTATTAGTCAAAGGTTCAGTGCACAAACAGTCTAATTCAATTACAAGCTATAACTAATGAAGAAAAATCTATAGTTAACTTATCTAGTATGTACCTCTTCAGGATGATGAAGAGACAATTTAAGCACGTCGGGATGCCATGATTCACCTGGTGCTAGGGAAATACTATTAAATGATGCGCCAAACAATGAGTTCACGAGAGTTTTCAAACCTTCAATACATTGTGTTAAAGGAAAGTACGATGATATGACCTATAAAAAGAAAAGGGAACCATAAGAAAACTGAATACTAGCAGTTAGGAGAAAATGGATACCATGAGAGAAACGAAGTAGGCAAAAGGAAAAATTAAAAAAGAAAAGTGTAGAAGATTGCCACTTAACAATGTGAATACGGAACAACCTCGACACGTTTTTCATTTGAAAAAAAAAAAGAGAGAGAGAGAGAAATAAGAAAGAAATAGAAGATGTAACTTGCCGATGAATTGAGATTATACGCAGTAGATTTCATCATTGATGTATAGTAAGCCTCATCCCATGGTTCTAAATCTTCAAACTTATTAAAACGCTTCTTTAACTTGAATTCCCTGATTTGATTGAACTCCTGGTGGTGGTTAAAACTTCTCATTAAATCATGAAACCACAATTTCAACAAGTTATGACGAAACAGAAACAACTCTTCCATGCCTTGCAAACTGCAACATCTTGAAACAAAAATTGTAGTACCTCATCAGCACTGGGACGGACCAAATTGCTCAACTCTTGCAAAAATGACACTACTACAGCTGGAGATGAAGCCATGTTAGGCGTTACTGCAAATTCTGCATAAGATCTATACCCTAATATCTGCATAGCCAACATTAAGCAAAAGACTAAAACATTGGAGGTAATTCACCGTAACATGGTTATTTTTCCATATGTAGGAAACTATTTGTCAGAACCTTTTTCACAAATTGGAATAAACAGAAATTTCATCTCAAGGAATCTGGTAGATTTATAATACAATTCTGTTCTATTAATCGAATATGTTTCTAAATTTATTTTCTCAAAGTTCCACAGCAATTGAGTAGATGAAAAAAATATCAAGCGACTGGTATTGATTGACATAGAAGAAGCCTATTTGGCTAACACATGACTGAGGAAGGTTGAGAAGGCTCAAAGCCAAGAGGAAATAATTGAGCTGAAAAGTCATCGTAAGAGAAGGCTGTACAAGTCTTTTCATATAAATTTTGTAAATTCAGGAGCTAGAGAGCTCGAGCTTTATCTTTGAGAGTCTGGGAGTGTTGTAAGCCCTTCCTCATTAATTTGATACAAGTCTACTTTTATTCCCTAGCCCATCAGAAAATTGTACAAATCGTGCCATGAATGATGAAATATAAATCTTCAGCTGGAAACAATTCTAAAATAAGACCTCAGATTAAGTGAGACGGAAGTTCACATGACCTCTAAAAAAATGAATTTTCTTGCACCACAAGATTAGATTGACTCATTCCAAGGAGAGAATTCTTTTTAAGAACTCAGTATTAAACAAATGGCAACTTAGGGAAGAAATATTAGATAATGCATTATTCTTTACAAATTTCAGGAGAGAGGAAATAAAAAACCTGAGCTAGCTCGTGACGAGTGGCAATAATCTTATCAAGAACATCGAGGTTAGCACGAGGACTTGAATTTCCCTTGACATAAGCCATTTTCCTAACCTGAGAATATATTCAAGTGCAAAAAAAAAAAAAAAGTAATTGTTGATCAGAAAAAGGATCAAGCCCAATGATGAAACATTTGGCCTTAGCAAACCATAATTTACGAAAAAGGTCATCATCTTATAAGATTTCCTTCCTCAGATATCTAAATCCATCTGACTTAAAAAAGATGCATCATAGAGCTTTATCCTACAAGAATTTATGGAAGCCTCCACATCCTTTAAATTATCCCAAGCCAATGAAAACACATCCTACCTATCATCATGCACAACAGAGTTATTCACCTCATCATCTGATGTATATTGCAGAATAGAAGATAGGGAATCTGCATCAGTCATTAATCGAAATCCCTTTTCTTTCATGCTACTTATCGATCCAAATGATTTACTAGAACGATAGATGGGCTTAACAAGATGGTGCAAGTTGTTTGGCACACGCATTGGTGGAAATATATCCACAGAGCCTGGATCAATGACGATATTTTCTTTGTACCTGACAAAATGAAGCATATTCAACAAAATTAACAAACATGGAACATTTTTCTTTTTCTCTTCCTTCTCTCCTATATTTAAGAAATACTGGTCTGGGTTGTCATGAAATACTTCATATATCAGTATTAATATAGTGAGGTTTCTCAAATAGTGATAAAGAAGAGAATTCATCAAACACTTACAATCGTCTGAATGTTAAGAGCATTATCAAAGTGACTCCGTTTACGTACAGTTTAGAGTGACAGAAAGTGACTCCGTTTATGTTTATTGATATGCAGAAAATATTATTGGAAGAAGCATGAAAATGAAGTGAATAGCAAGCAAACACAATTAAGTGAATATTACATGCAACTTACTCCTGACAGAGCTGAGAAATTTCAATACTCAACTGATTTACTCGATCCAATCTCTCTGCATAAGCATAATTAAGGTGTTAATTTTTAAATGCAGAAGCATGAGTAGGAAGCAGCGGAGTGAATTATACACAAAAAGTACCAGCAGAAAGATGAATTCCAGCCCTTTCAAAGTCAACACGGAGGAAATGAGCAGCCATATGAGCTTCACGTGTAAGTAGATGAGCCTCATGCTCAGCTTTTTTAACAGCATTATACAAAGTATGATTTGTATTGAGAAACTATAAACAGAAAGATAACATGAATAAATTTTTGGACACAGTTTTCAAACAGCAAGAAAATTACCAATAACAATTTCTCGCGCAAAATAGAAAAGTAAAGGAATTTTAGTGATCATTTTGGTTTTCCAACTGCATAACATGTAAAACTACAGAAGGTTCACAAAACTGTGTAGTACTCACTTGAATATTTTCTGTTTGGAAACAAATACAAAGTCTTTTCCATATTTGTTTTCAATATAATTACACCTAAAAGTTCTCATCCTTTTTTGTTCAAATTAAAATGTTAAATACTTTTCAATTCAGTAGGATCATCTTACTTATGCTAAGTACTTCTCAGTTTCGGCAGGTTCAAGCTATTTATAAAATAACAGATGAAAATCAAGTAGAAAACTTAAAACTTGCCATCTCATAATAACTAATTCAAAATCTGAGCAGGTTCAAAGTGACGTTGAAGAGAGAAAGAGATTATTAATAACTAATCAAGTATTAACTTATAAAATTTTTAAAATTTTTCATATTTTATTGAAGTATGAGAGATAACATTTATGGTGAAACCTACAAACTAGGCTGTTTTTTGTTTTTGAGTCTGTCAAGTTCACTGTCCACAAGACTTATTTTCCTCCACAAAGGTTTCCAAGTTACTCCCTAAAGAAAGTTTATATAATAAAAGAGGGAATTCAGATCTGCGAATATAACACATTTTATCACTTTTGCAGATTATTATTTCTTAAGTTTCTTTTTTTTATATATATTTTAGCGCTGGAGTCCAGAACTAGAGAAGAATAGACAATTCAGGAAAACATGTTTGCGTTTCACTGAAGGTAAAGACAGACATGATAGTGCACTCAATTAGTTCGTAAATCAGTAATAATGACAACTGACAGAAAAAAAAATTCAAGATATGGTTTGCTGGGCTCCTCACATGAAAATATTCACTCATTCTCATAGCTGCCTTGTTTGCCTCCTCCACAAATTCCCTATTACATAAAAAAAAAAAAAAAAAATTATAGCAAGCCGAACTGACTGGCAAAGCAAATATGAAAGACAGTAACTATCACCAAGGTGTCAAAAAAAACATCAGAAAAGTAAAGACCTGTCTGGATGAGTTTGCCTACAAAGTTCTGCAGAATCAAAAACAGAGCATACCTAATCAATAAATTCCACAATTAAACAAAGAACTTTTATATAGAAGTGGAAATATATCTGATAGATAGTTCAAAATAACAACTTAAAGTAAATCCTAAATTCTAAACCTACCCTGTTGGAAATTTCATCCATTGCTCGGATAACTTCTGCTGATGAAGGCATGCTAGAAATGAAAGTAACAAGCTCGCCAGACCTAATCAGAGAAATTAGTTCTTAAAAGAAGAAGGCAAAATTTTTCTGCAGTTCGAATTAGATAAAGGTTTCAAGGCTCCTTGCTACCAACGAATTTAGAAATTTGTCGTAAAATATTGATGAGATTTTTTTAGAGCATCCATGTATTCAAGTCAGCTGACATTCTAGAAAATGCATGAGTAATTGACATGTACCCTCGACCAACAAGTCAGCCGTTTGAATCCTTCCTCCTCAAATATTGTTGAACTCAACAAAATCATAAGAAAGATGTTCGAATTTCCAAATGATAGCGCATATAATACTAGACTAGATGATTTTCATTTTGAAATCCTTTGTATCTTGCACTTTTCCGTACTCTTCCAATTCAAAGAAAGAAACCCATAGATGAAAGCCCAGTTTCCGAACTGCCTTAATTTTAAAGAAGGCAAAGCACATAGCTTTTAATCTAGTTTATCAAAAAGGCCAATTTGTGCTGCAAAAGATCCTCCTAGAATTAAGACAATAAGTTCTGTTTCATTTTCTTTCGCACCGTTACGCATTACCTACATTCTTATTACCATTGGCCATAGCAATTACAGCGTCAACCAAGCTTCTTTTTTTTTCTTTTTTTTTTTTTTTCTAAAAGAACAAAGAGCTATTTAAGTTAAGCTCATAATCATTAACATGGAAACAAGGTGGAACTCCTCCAGTTGGTCAGATACATAATTAAGCTCAATTGTTTTTAGTGTTAAGCTAGCTGATGATAACGAGCAACAAAACAATTAAAATTGTAAGAAAAATTGTAGTAACTTTCTCGCCTCTCAAGCATTAAAGACATTCAACTTAGAGCAATGATCTCGTTACCTCTCAATGGCTTCATCGACAAAACGCTGGAAGCCTTTAGGCGACTTCAGCTGCTCAAAGCCATAGAGACCGGTAGCAGCACCTTCGTGCGGAGCCGAGGCAGCGGCGTGGATCGAACGGGAGCTAAGGCAATTCAAGTAGCATGATTTTAGAACGGCTCCCGAACTGACCTTCCGGGTGGTTTTTCTGATCAGGCTCAACATACCGCGGCGGCGGAGAGAAGGCAGCGCAGTAGTGAACCTTGATTTTCCAGCTTCGGGGTCCGAGTGGTGGTGGGACGCGGGCGTTTGGGTTGGTCCACGAAGCTATTCAAGTCCCGGGTTGAAATTAAAATATTCTAATTTTATATAAATGTTTTAAGGCTAAATTATATTAAAAAAAAAAAAAAAAAGTCTTCCATTTTCTTTTTTGCTTAAAAAACATTTTTATATTAAATAATAATAATTAGGATTAGTTAGTTTATGGTGTATGGGAATAATACGTATAGAATGTACGGAAATATTAAGATTAGAATAAGAAATATTATCGAAATTTTATATAATTAAAACTATTAAAATAAATTTAAACTTTTTGGCTTTTTAAATTTATTTTGTAATCAATTTTAATAATTATCCCCAAATAAATGATTTTAATAAAATTATATATTAAAAATGTTGTATATAAATTATATTAAATGAGATATATTTACAAATCTTATACCATTATAATAATTTATTAATAAAATAATAAAAATTTAAAAAGTGATGTATCAATCATTATTAATTATAGTTATATTATGAATCAATTAATTATACTTCAAAATTATGATAAATTAACAAATGAGTTAATCAAAATTAGTTTCAATAAATAATTAATTGATTATAAACCATCAATAAGTAATTAATTATAATTACTGAAAATTTAAATTTTTATACGATAACTAATCATAATTAACTAGTTAATTATACTAAAATATGGTTAATTAATTAATTACTAATTTTAGTAACAAGTAATTCATTTATTTGACTTCTTTATCAAAATAAATTAAATAAATCATTATTGACGCCAACATAATTTATAAAATTTTATTTAAGTGTTCATGTTTAATGGTAGTAGTTAAGTCTTGAGGGGCACAAATTTTGATAAGAGCGAAAGTTTTATTTTAAACGTAATATCTACTTCCCCTTGTTTGTGGAGTGGAGTGGGATGTGAAAGGTACAAAGAAAAGTGAACCGTAGGATCTCGTCTGACTTACTACACACCTAACGTCCGTCAAAGCTCAAAAATCCTCCTGCCCCGGCTACTAGACCAGTTCCGCATCTCTCCGAGGCCGGGAGAACAAATAGGCGTGAGGAAGAGGGAGAGGGGGGGGCTACGAGCCCTCTCCCGTTGCTGTTCCCGGATCACCCATCCCTTCCTTCCCCTTAGATCAGGGCAGATATGCCCCGGAAAGCAAGAAATCCCTGGCTCATTCATGCTAGTCATCTTAGAGCTATAAGTCAGAACAATGTTCACCTCTTCCATAGTGTGAATATATCGAAAAAGCTTTTGAATATTTCCATTCTTCTATTAAATAGCTTTACATCCTCCCCAAGGTAGCATTGCCGAGCGGGCGATCCCTGTCTTGTTTATCCAGCTAGCTTTTTCCCGTGGTACTCAAATTCGATATATTCTTCCAAGCAGGAAAGCTTACAAATTTGAACTCATGATGAAGCATCAAAAGATATCTCCACACCGCTTCCTCCGATGTCCGCAATTAGACACTGGAAACCGCACGACTCCAGCTCTGAAATCACCATATCAACGATTGTTCCTGAAAGCGCTGTTTTTTTAATATAGTTAAGGAAAGAAAAATAGACTCATTGATTCCAGGAGCTACTGTAAAATGTATACAAAAGAGGGTAAAATAAGAAAGGATACATGTTGGCAAGAGCGTCAGAACGCAGCCACCACCTCCAGCTCCTGTCAATTTGGACGCTAACTTGTATTTCAATGTTGTCCTTTGAACGGTTTCTATTGAAGCATGGCTTACCCCCATGCTCTGGAGCACCCCTTGATTCATTTCCATCAGCTCTGCTATGTTCTCTTCCTTCTCGGATATGGATAGCTCACCAGAAACGGGGGACTCAATAATGGCTGATAGCTCCTTGCTAATGGAATCAACAGCATTGAATATGAAGTTTAACGCATCATGATGTCTTATCATCCTTTCTGATACCAGCAACTAAAGCCTTTGTGTTTCTTCCCTCTTTTGTGTTGGTTATAAGCATTTTCAATGCCAAGTTGGATTTCATGAGTGTTAAACTACCTGACTTGAACTTGATCGTGTTGCCTGATACAAGATTCTCTATTTAGGAAGAGATACAAATACTCATGCATGATGAATTTTAACAAACATGAGATTTCACGTCGGTTGAGGAGGAGAACAAAACATTCTTTGTAATGGTGTGGAAACCTCTTCCTAGCGGATGCGTTTTAAAAAACTCGAGGGGAAGCTCGAAAGGGAAAACCCAAAAAACATAATATCTATTAGCAGTGGACTTGGATTGGGATGTTACAAATGGCTATTACACATGATGTCTAAACAAATTCAGAGTAAATTTCTCTCTTGATCAATCTAGAGTTCTCTTCATGCGTTTTAGGCCTTGACATCGTTAAGATAATTAGACCCAAATTGATTCAGACTGACTGATGTTCCACTTTCATCTCAAGTACTAAATAATCATAAAATTCTAATAGGCTAGCAGTATTCGATTGGTAAATTGATAACATACCATATGTGCTTACTGTGTTGTCAATTCCGGATGGCTTTCCATGAATTATCTTTTCTCCTTGAAAGGCCCATTTGTTCAACAAATCAAGTTCTTTTTCCCCAAAACTTGACCATCCTTGGTGCGCCCTGTCCACAACTACAGAATCAGATAAAGCAAGTAGTGCAGCTGAAAGCGCCACACAAAAAGCAGCCGATGATCCCAGGCCAGATCCAAGAGGAAGCTCAGATGTGACAATCACTGTAGCAGGCTTAAATCTGAAACATGTAGAATGAAAAATGGCTAAAGAACACAGGGAGAACACAGAGATAAAAGTTTCACAGAACACAAGTCAATTGTACCATACATACCCTTGAATGCAGGAGTATAGCCAGAGGAATGCCGATACTCCAGATGCAAGGCCAATCTTTGCTTCAGGAATATTTTGTTCTTCAACTAGAGCACCAATTGATCTCAAGCACTCAGCTGGGCATGATGTTGGTGATGATGAAGAAATGGCGGTATTAAATTCAGCCACTGCTTCCTTAATTCTACCAACTGGCCAGGAAAACTCCAGTGCCATATCATTCAGCTGAAGCTTTAGGGTATCATCATTGTCTAGTAACAAATTCATTTGATCTCATAAGAAATAAAATTAACCCAGAAATTTCAAGTGAATTGATTTGATTGACAAAGCAACAAGATATTAGGCAACGGGAAAATTCTACACCAAGCTACCAATGCATAACGTGCAATGACAAGAAAACTTCAGAGGAAAAATAAGGTGTGGATGTTTTTCTCAGTGTTTCCTATCTCATTAGAATATGAATGATCTCCTTGATTTTCTTTGTTATTATCAGCAATTTCAGGACTCCACATCAATTCAACGACAGATTAAACTACCGAGATTATCATAACGTAGAATTTAAATCTAATTACCGAAGAGTAAATTATGATTGTTCCCGCCCTAATTTTGTCAAACACTTGCAATCAACAAATGGCATATATATATTTTAAATTTGTATTCCGGCAAATGTTCAACAAATTTTCTGTCCAACGGCATGTAGTTAAATCAATAAACAAAATTGTAGAACATCGAGAGGAAGATTGTAAAACCAAAAGAATTGTCGTGAAAGCATTAAGAGGATGTCAAGCAATCGGATCGTCACAGATATTCAACTCCTTCAGATCATACAGTTCTTCCACAAAGTTAAAAGCCACGGGAAAGAAAGAGCGAGAGAATACCGGAATGACTGTGGAATGCAAGGGAAACGGAAGTATAGAGACTGATGGAAGCAGCGACGGCCATCGATCCATGTACGACGGCATGTTCACCGGAGAGCATGATTTTTCCGGGAGCTCTAGCCCGAACTTCCATAGTGTTGTGAAGAGTAATCTGAACGCGAAACTCGGCTTTCTTTCCCACCAATTTCTCAACAATAATGGAAAACAGTCGGAATTGCGACAACGAAGCGGTGGAGATCCTCCATTTTCAGCAAGTGCGGTAGGCAATGGCAACCATTGCCCAGCGACAGTTGCAGCCCACGTCAGTCACGGGACTCTGCGGAGCCAAAAAGAGGAGGAAATATATTGAATTATTGAATAATAAAATAAAAAAAAGAAGTCAAAATTTACATTGAAATTTTAATTTTATCAATTGCACGTCATATTTAGAATATTGCGATCTTAATCTTAATTAAAAATATGTTACAATTTGTATGTAATTTGAAAGTTCGTTATTATTATTATTTTTTAAATTTGATAAATTTGCCCTTAAAACATTTTTTAATTAAAATTTGTGAATTTTTGTAGTTATTAAATGATTAATATGTTTAAATTTTTTATTAATATGAGTGGTTTATGGAGTTTTTTTTTTTCGTATTGGTTTAGGTTAAAATTAATGATTGAATTAATTGAAGATTTAAGAGTAAAAAATATAAATGGGAAATTCCCCTTTTGAAAAAGATCCTCGAGAAATGAAACAAACTCCATTTAATTTTGCTGCCATCTTCGTCGATGATCTATAAATCTATCGATTTCATATAAATATCTCAGTCCTTCTGAATCTGATCCGTCCCTTGAGCGAGATCACAACGTGGATCCCATCGTATGCATGTTTCATGGCATCCCTCTCAGGTTCATTTATGACAAACCTCCAAAGGAGACCTTGACAGCAGGCTGCATCTACGTGGGCCATAGGTTTCGAGCCCAACTCAACAACGCACGGTAGGTGTTCGACGAAATGTCTTATATCAAAACATTGAATCCCATGAACGATCAGAATCGTATAAGCTAGAATACAGCTTCTGGAAGAAAGCGAGAGGATGTGGAGGCGAGTGGCTTCTGTTTCGCATTTGACGTTTGCCCAGAAGTCCATTGTCAATAAGGTAATTGCAGCCATTCTGATCTTTTCAAATGATTACGACCCAGCTGCTTTATTCGATTTTTATTCCACTAGCAATAGGCGGATGCTGCTAATTTGTTGATTGCTCTTTATGATTTGCGAGGCTAGAAACGTTGTAACAACCGTATGACTTTCTTCCGGGAACTACTACTTCTTTATTGTTTTGATTTTTCAGCTTTGGGTTTTGATTAAAACGATGATGCATAGTCCGTACGTTGAAAATGGTTCTCTCATACAATCATACGCATTCTTCTTTCTTGTTAAGAGCTTTTGAAATCATTCTATCTCCGTCCTGGGGCTAACTGGGAAGCTTTTTTGTGAACTTTGGATGTTATAACCTCTCGTTCTTTCCTGTTCTTTCATGACATAAATTTCATTGGCTTATGGCTAAAGGAACCTCTCTACATGGAGTTGCAATCGACAACCGAAGAAGGACTAGTTTATCTTGTCTTCTTTAGTCTAGGATATCGAAAATCTTTCCTTTTATTCTGGGGGTGAAGCCTAGAAATTATTGACTTCTCTCGAGGTCATAACTACCTGTGGGCCCAAATATTTGACAATACAGAAAGACAAGGATATGAGATGGATTTCTGCCATAACAGGAGAATGGATATTTATGTGAGAAGACTGGTTGAACAAATTATGGCAGGTCATGTTTGTGCAGGACTTGACATTGCATAGTCGAGAATGATCAGATTTATAAATGACTCGGTTAGGATTGTTCATAGAGTAAAATGTTTAATTTAGATGGAATTGGGAATTCTCAGAGAAGGTGTGGGCGGTGCACTAGAAATCATGTCAATAAGACTCAGAATTTTGCAGAAGCGAAATCTCTTGCTATCATTTTCTTGAATTAAGGTCTGTCTGTGACTGACATGGGATTGAACAGGGCATTAGCAATCTTGAAACCTTTGTCATATTTCGCGTTTCCTCCATATTCTGGAAACCTTTGTTAAATTGTTTTGTATAAAAACCGTGTTTGTTTTTCCATCTCTCAAAATCATAACAAATTTCACCACTTTTATTGCTGATACCAATGCAGGATGTGTGTAAGCTCAAGTTTTGGGAAGCATTTAGCACTGGAATACCCAGAAAGGTAGTATACGCATTTTATATCTCCTTGTTGAACGAACCTTGTAGATGTTTAACTGCTCAAATATTTGAGTTTCTTTATGATTGTTTTAATTTCGTATCCACTCTAAAGCATAGACCATCAACTTCTGTATTTTTCATTTTCTGTGGAACTGAACATTCAAACCTATCAGTTACCTGAGTTCTTAGATGAGTAGACAAGCAAGGTGCAATTGAGTTTTTCTTAGCCTCATTATTGTGTTTGGAATCTTTATATCATGCCCAAGTGTCTCTCTCAACAATGTGGAACTGTGTTTCAGTAATATTTTTTTTTCCTCTATATAATGTGAAGAACTGAAAATTAGTGCTCACACGTTGAAGCATCTGCTCCCATATGAAATATTTATATGCGCGCGTGTTGTTTATTTATGTCATTTTGTCTAATATATTTGGAGTGAATGTTTAGATTCTTTTTAATTTGAGTGCAGGAAAAAGGTACCTTTCAAAGAGATAAAACACCATTCATAACTTTTGTATTAGGTAATGTTCTCTGCCTTTTCTTTTCTTCTTTGGTGACAATGAAGAAAGGCGTATTTATATTTGTAGTCAATTATACATTGTTTATTCATAATTTAGAAGGTGACTATGAAGCCAAAGAAGAACATGAATTCATCTTTTTTGAAATTCTTTGCCTCAAAGGTTTAAATGCTTACATATATTTCTGATAAATTTAGTACTCATTACTCAACATCTACTAATGAGAAGAAATATTTTCTTATTATATTTGAAAAATTATCATATTCAAACATACTGTAAATATCAAATTCTCATTCTCTTAATACTGTCTATATTGTATGATTAAAATAAAATGGGAATGTCAGGTAACTTGTATGTGAATGTAAATTAGTGTCATTAAGTAATGCAACAACAATCCTTCCAGGTTTCATATTTTTTCACCTACTCTATCTATCTGGAGGTTGTATGGATTTCCTTGAACTTATGATTCTAGTAAGGAAAAATAAAAGAAGAGAAGTCTTCAATTTTCAATGATATGACCTAGATGCTTATATAAAGCCTGCATATACTAAAAGTGGCAACGTTTTCAGGTGGTCCTGGAAGTGGTAAAGGTACACAATGTATGAAGATAGTTGAGAACTTTGGATTTACACATTTGAGTGCTGGAGATATATTAAGGAGGGAAATAGCTTCTAATAGTGCTGATGGGTAATTATGTCTCGTTTGCATCTATTGAGAAAACTTACAAATCCATCTAGCCTTTGATGATGTCTCTTGATTGTGAGTTTCTATTTTCAGTACCATGATTCTTGACACAATTAAGGAAGGAAAAATAGTTCCTTCAGAATTGACAGTCAAACTTATTCAAAAGGAAATGGAATCAAGTGACAATTATAAATTTCTCATTGATGGGTTCCCACGGAGTGAGGATAACCGGATTGCATTTGAACAAATTGTGAGTTTCTTCTATACTCTTTCCATTCAGTTCTTTCTTTAATGTGGTGAAAAGTTTTTCTTTCAAGAACTTTAAGAAACAAAATCAACACTGAGATCATCAAGGGAAAATGACAAATTGTTCAAATGTAGATCGGAGCAGAACCTGATATTGTACTCTTCTTTGACTGTCCAGAAGACGAAATGATGAAGCGGGTGCTCAATCGTAATCAGGTGGCTGACATGTGTTCAATCTTTCCTGCTTCCAAATCGCCATCATCATAGTATATCTCAAAATGACAAATTTGCAGGGAAGAGTTGATGACAACATTGACACAATCAAGAAAAGGCTAAAAGTTTTTTCGGCATTGAATCTCCCTGTAGTCAAATATTATCTGGAGAGGGGAAAGCTATACAAGGTATGTTATTGTTTGAGTTTTCAACTCAAATCCTTCTATTGTTGGTGCCTTGCTGCTATTGAATAGATGCTCATCACTTGCTAGACCACATGTGAGATCCTACATCGGTTGGGAAGGAGAACGAAACACCATTTATAAAGGTGTGGAAACCTCTCCCTAGCATACGTGTTTTAAAGCCTTGGGGGGAAGCCCGAAAGGGAAAGTCCAAAGAAGACAATATTTGCTAGCAGTGGGCTTAGGCCATTACACCACGTTTCTAAATTCTTGTTTCTTTCTATGTAAACTTGGTTTTTTGACCCAAAAAATGTTGCAGATAAATGCAGTTGGAACGGTGGATGAAATATACAAACAAGTTTATCCACTTTTTGCACAATTTAATTTTGAGGTATTTGGTTTCTGTTTCCACCTTCAAGTCCTTCCTATATGATTGGTAAAAACTTTTTAAACTTGAATCTTAGCGTATGCCGTTTTCTCCCATCATTCATGCTTTCAGTTCTGATGTCGACTCAGTGCTGTAGTCCATTGCTGATCATTGTTTAATCATTTTTGTTCAGCAGCAGGTATGAGCAAGGAAGTGTTGGGCAATCTTCTCATGGATAACAAACATGGAGCACGGAAAGACCCTGGTTTGTGCTTCGTGGTCGACCGCTCGGAGCGACTCTTCATTCGAGTAGAAGAGCATTGTGAGTTAATTACCCTGATTACAGTTTTTTCAAGAGTGTAATATAAGTGAACGGCAAGTACAGCCTAGGGAATTTCTTATAGGTCCAGAGAAACAAAAACCTGTTGGCTACATATTATGTTCCCCAACCTAAACACGCAGAACTTATAAATATGTTTAGGAATATGCACATCTATGGTTGATATTGATGTTCACGTTCCAAAATTGATAAAAATGTTGATATGAAAATGAATGGTATTGCTGGCAAATAGTATAATAAGCTTCAAAGGTAAAGTGGGGGTGATATGTTTGTTCATTTGTTATCTCTTTTAATTTAGACCTTAAACTTTATTCAATATAGGTATCTAAGCCCCGAAGGGGGTGGATTGTGATGTCCCACATTGGTTGGAGAGGAGAACAAAACACGGTGTGTAAACTTTAGTAGACGTGGTTTAAAGAGAAAGCCCAAAAAGTACAATATCTATTAGTGGTGGGCCTAAGTCGTTACAGAATTACTTTAAATAATAATAAATAAATAATATTATCTATATCTTCAATAAGCAATTTTGTTGTTTAAGCTTGTGATTTAGTATTTATATATTGTATTTCTTAATCATGAAAAAAAAAAAAAAGTAAACATATTTAATATTTGAAATTAAATTATTTAGTGAGCGTAAGAATAAAGTTATTAAATTATTTTGTTTTTGGATGTGAAACAAAGCGCATAAAATTAGGATAGTGGTGTTTGAAACCGCCATTTTGGCTGCGATTCTCATTGCCAGATGCTGATCTCTTTGCGATTCTCAATTTCACCCATTACTTCGCTTCGTCTCTTTTGTTCTTCCGGACCCAAGAAATCCAAGAAAGAAAGGAGGAAACTTCTTCAGGAAAAACTGATTCGCATAAGCAAAGCTAAAGAGGCCACTCGTCTCCCTTTCCCTAAATCCTCATCAACCCCACTCTTAATCCACCACAAACCCTTCTCCCGATCCAAGATTCAAGCTCTTGACGCTGTTCTTAATGACCTTGAAGCTTCCCTCGACAATGGCGTCCCTATTGATGCTGAAATTTTCTCTTCCCTTTTGGAAACTTGTTACCAATTGCGAGCCCTTGATCATGGTATTCGGATTCATCGCCTAATACCCACCAATTTTTTACGAAGAAATGTGGGTGTTTCTTCTAAGCTTCTTCGTCTGTATGCTTCTTTTGGGTACATGGAGGATGCACACCAGGTGTTTGATGAAATGTGTCAACGTAATCTCTCTGCATTTTCTTGGAATTCTCTTATTTCTGGCTATGCTGAACTTGGTCTTTATGAAGATGCTCTGGCTCTCTACTTCCAAATGGAGGAAGAGGGTGTTGAACCTGACCATTTCACTTTTCCTCGTGTACTCAAGGCCTGCGGCGGCATTGGGTCGATTCGAGTCGGGGAGGCAGTGCACCGGCATATCGTTCGTTCGGGATTTGCTGGCGACATCTTCGTCCTCAATGCTCTAGTTGACATGTATGCCAAATGTGGTGACATTATGAGGGCTAGGAAAGTTTTTGATCAAATTATTCATAAGGATACAGTTTCCTGGAACTCAATGCTCACTGGTTACACACGCCATGGGCTGCTCTTGGAGGCATTGAACACCTTTGATCAAATGATTCAAGAAGGTTACGAGCCAGATTCAGTTGCTTTATCCACCATGATCTCTAACATCACGTCGTCGAAATTCAAGTTACACATCCACGGATGGGCGATTCGACACGGAATCGAATGGAATTTGTCGATTGCCAACTCTTTGATTGCCATGTATGCCAACTCTGGTAAGATCAACAGAGCAAGATGGCTGTTCGAGCAGATGCCTCAACGAGATATAGTGTCATGGAACACCATAATCTCTGCTCATTCCAACACTTCAAAAGCATTGACATATTTTGAGGTGATGGAGAGCCTTGGTGTTTTGCCAGACAGTGTAACATTTGTGTCATTACTGTCAACTTGTGCTCATCTGAGCTTAGTGAAGGAAGGGGGAAAGTTATATTCTGTGATGAAAGGGAAGTATGGAATAAGACCAACCATAGAACATTATGCTTGCATGGTGAATCTTTATGGGAGGGCAGGGCTTATTGAAGAAGCTTATAGAATCATAATGAACGGGATGGAGGTTGAGGCAGGCCCGACCGTATGGGGGGCGCTGTTGTATGCGTGCTATCTTCATGGCAATGTCGATATTGCCGAGGTTGCTGCTGAAAAGCTTTTTGAATCGGAGCCCGATAACGAGCTCAATTTCAAGCTTCTGATGAAGATTTACGGCAATGCTGGGAGAATTGAAGATGAGAAGAGGGTGAGATTAATGATGGCGGAACGAGGATTAGATTTGTAATGAAGTAATCTGGATAATTATAAATATTTTTATTTTAGTGTATGAATTTGTTAGAAACCAAAATTTAATCCCAAATTTACGTTAGTTATCATTTATTATAATAAAGTAATAATTAGAACAACCCAGCTTAAGAACGTTGACTGTAGGCTTGACGGCTGCCGACAGCACCACAAAAGTAGGAGACTTTGACTGAAATCCATTTACTTAAAAAAAAAAAAGTGTACAATACCATATGAATACTATTGTAGAGATATGTGAAAGGTGTCATAGTCATGCTTGTTCGGGGAGTGTTGTATATGACTGTGTGTCAAATGTCTCGGTCATGTTTGTTCAAAAAGTATTGTAAATAGCTACATGCCCGTTCTAAATCCCTTTAAATGTACTATAAGAGATACAACTAATTGTCAATTCTTCATACCCTAAGTTACATGTTATTTAAGTGATGATGTTTCTTTTTTTTTTTGTTTATAGTCATATAACGTTGTTTTCTTCAGTTATTTCAAATTGTTTTCAAATGTATTTTCTCGCTCACGTTTTCTAAAACATTTCTCACAAACATAACTTGATGCTCAAGCATACACCGAAGTTATCTACAAAATCCAAATTTATCACGACCGAATTATCCACTCAATTAAAATAAGTGATGCACAATCACTGTCACGCTACCACAAGAGTATGATTGTGATAAAGGGCATTAATCCTTTAAAAGTATCTCTAGCATTAAAAGATGTTTCAAACTTTTAAAAGTTAATTCGGTAAATATACAATATAAAAACGTGTTAAATAATATTTTAAAGAAGGTATGTAACTTTAATTAGGCGGTGTCGTGTTACACATTTTCTTGACATTGCCCCACTGCTTAATTTGAGTCTTTGCTTCTACATTTTCAAACCCCCAAGTAAATGGGGAAGTCAAAATATTTAATTATATACTTTTTTTCCAATGTGCTAAAAAAAAAAAATTTCCATGCAAAAAAAAGGGCTTAATATGGGGAATATTTCTTAAAGACATTTTTTTTTTTTTTTATCTTTTTAACAAAATTTTATACAGTTTTTTTTTTTTTTTTCAAGCTATTACGTAGAATTCAAATTTCCCAATAATATATAAATAAAATTTAAAAAAAAAATGTGAAAGCCGACAAAAGATAAGGTGGTGGACTCCCATTATTAAAAGAATTTGATTGGTTCAGAAGAATTTACGAAGACTGAGTGGTCTGAGTAATGTCGGTAGCAAAAAATTGGTCCTTACCCTATTTTCTTTTAAAATATTATTTATAATTTTGACTTTTACAAAAACAAAAAATAATAATAATAATAATAATAATAATAATAATAATAGGAAAATCACACGCTCATCTGCCCATTTAGTTTACTTTGACTTTCTTCTCTAATCACCTTTTATTTTTTTTATTTCAATAACTTTTTAATTCAAATTTATTTTCATTTCATTTTCACTATTTTTTTAATTAATTATTTTTGTTGATACAGACTTACGTCTAATATAAGTAAACATATGATATACAAAAATTAAATTTTAGTTAAAAATGACGTTGAAATTAGCTCAACAAGTCAAAAAATCCCTTTTAATAATTTTTGATTTAGACCTAAAACGGTAGATTTTGACAATTTTGTTGCGGTGTGAATTGAAATAATCCCTCTATCTTATTTTATACAATTTGATCTTAAAACATGTTATTATAAGTATATCTTCAAAATTTTAAATGAATTTATTTATTTATACTTTAATCATAAGTATATATTTTAAGTTTATACTACCTCAATCATTGATAGCTTCTAGAAGAAATTATACACATAAAGCCCGATGCAAATAAAACTATAGAATAATTGCTAGTTTTTTTTAATAAAAAAATCAATAATTACTAATATTGATGCATAGAAAAGACAAAAAAAGCGACAGTTACCAAACTAAGCGGTGGTGAAATATTTAAATTAAATCTTCCCACTAAAAGTAGGACTGTGACATTGTATCAAGTATAAAATTATTCAATTTTAAAATTAATATAATAAATAAAAATTAAAGCAAATTTTATTATTTATTGTCGATAATATTCTTCCGAGTAATTTAGAGAAAGATGATAGATATATCAGTGAGAGACATTATTTTTATTTATATTAAATTATTAAAAAATTAAAAATATTTTTATAATACGAACAATACCCTTATAATTCATAGTTATTATAAATAAATTTAATAATTTAATAGTTTATTAGATATCTATCAAAAGAGAATTATTAGATATACTTATAAAAGCTTTCCACTAAACTTTTCCTTTAACAAATAATAATAATAATAATAATAATAAATTTCGTGTGAACATTAAAAATATATATATATATATATATAATATATTTACACGGATTGCCCCTGGGTTAAATTTCCACTATAAAAGTCGGATCCCCCACTTCTCAGTCCACAAACAAATCGCCTCCTCTCTTCTTCTTCTTCCGCTCTCTGTTTCTGCAAATCCGCGAGGTTTGCCAATGGCGAAATCCGCCTTCCTTCTCCTACTCCTCTCTATCTCCACCCTATTCGCCACCACCAGCGCTGCCGGCTATGGCGGAGCTTCCAATTTCATCAAATCGAGATGCAATTTCACAACATACCCTGACCTATGCGTTCAATCCCTCACAAATTTCGCCTCAAGAATCCAACAAAGCCCTCGCCAATTAGTCCAAACAGCTCTAACGGTGAGCCTCTCTCACGCTCGATCCGCCCGATCCTTCGTCTGGAAACTGACGAAGTTCACCGGATTGAAGCCGCGAGAGTACGCGGCGTTGAGAGACTGTCTAGAGGAGGTCGGCGACACGGTGGAACGGCTGAGCAAATCGGTGGAAGAACTGAAGCTGGTTAGGAGATCGAAGAGGAGAGATTTCGAGTGGCACATTAGCAACGTGGAGACCTGGGTGAGCGCGGCGATGACGGACGGTAACACTTGCTCCGATGGATTTGCAGGGGCGGTGTTGAATGGAAGAATTAAATCATCGATTAGGCGTCGCATTGTGGATTTAACTCGATTCATAAGTAATGCCTTGGCTCTGATTAACAACTATGCTCAAAATCAAAGCTAGAGATGTAAGTCTGTTTCAAAATCTGAAAAATGTAATGTATATTATGAGAGTTTTGAGTGTTTTGAATTTGGGAATTGCAACCCTAAACGGTTTTATGCTTTTCTCTGTATCTGTATTTTCCTATTTTCGTTTAGTCTTTAAAAAATATATTATTATTATTATTATTATTATTATTATTATTATGAGGACTACAAAATAAATAAAAAAAAGTGTGGTTAAATTATAATTCTCAATTCTTTTCACTTTTTGTTAATAAATTACTTGCCCAAAATTAAATTTTAATCAAATTACTTACAAAAGTTTTATCATTAATTAAAATTTAATCGAATTACCTACAAAAGTTTTATAATTGATTAAAATTTAATCCGGTTAGTTTTTTTCCAATTTGTGTTGATTGAACTTTTAGAAAATCAAAGATTCGACTTAGTTTATAAGATGACTTTTTCTATAGGTCAACCCGTTACAACTCAACCTTACTTTTTTTAAAAAATTAAAAATATTAACAATAATATTAATAATAGGTCGTAACTTGTAAATATTTTGATATTTGAATTTTAATGGAATTTCAACTATTAATATAATATGTATGATAGGTAAGTATAATTTTTTAATAATAAAAAAATAATAACCCGACAATAAGTCAACTTAAAAATAAAGAATTGGATTGAGTTATGAACTTTGGTTACTCGGGTCACTAATCTAACCAACTCATAGTTTCAAGTTGGTTTAACCGATTCAGTTTCATATAAAATCTTAGTATTTTTCCTTTTGATAATCTCGTGCCTTCCTATCAACTTTATTATTACACTTTATACTATTGTTTTATTAAGAATATTTGCATTTTTGACTATATGTTGGCATTTTTATTATGCTTTTATATCTTTGTAAAGTCATATCAACATCAAATATGAACAAACACTTATTATATCATAGAAAAATGAACCAAATATGGATTAATTTGTTTTTATTTTTATTTTTATTTTTATTTTCCCATGCACCATAAACAGTATTTAATACATAATAAAAGCGCAGTTTGACAATTTGTTTCATACAATATTAGATTTTAAATTTTTTTATTTAAACACAGTTATTGCTTTGGATTTTATCATTGAAAAAATGAGAGGGAAAATTAAAACTCCAACAGAATGAGGGCCCTCCCCCTTCCTTGATTGAAGGAAATGGGCAAATCCTAAATAAATTATTAAAAAATTAAAAAAAAAAAATTAAAAGGTCCAAAAGGGATGAACATGAAACATCAATTATATAAATGATTTTTAAATGTCATAAATAGATAAAAATCTTTGTATCAAATTTCTTTTTCTTTTAATGCATAGCCTTATATATATGTGTGTGTTTAAATTTTGCAAATAAGGACTAAATTTTATCACCCTCAAATCTTTTATTGAAAATGATATGTTTCTATTCAAATATCTCGTAACCCTCGAGCCTTTCATCTACATGTTTCTTCATCCCCTCGCATTCTGACATCCAATGGCCGATAATAGTGCTCCCTTCTTCGAGCTTCAATGGTGGCATCAAATTTCCAAAAGACATAAGGCGAGTTCGTCTCCATACAAAGTTTCGTGTTATTGTTCTTGCATTGTGAGTGTAACCCATGAGAATTTTGACCCCTTTTCAAGATACCCACTCTATTTTAGTGTAAGATTTGTAAGTTCGAATGTGTTCTAATACACCTAGGTGATGCATATCTATAAACTTTTAAGTACATAAAAGTGATATACATATAATTAGAGCGTATAAAAATATACGTGATTTACATAAAAATACACGAAAGAAACATATTTTATACTTTGAAATGACATTAAAACAAGATTGAAGCTGCAAACAAGTTGATGCAGCTCAGTTGTTTGGATGTTTATGTTGTTTGAAAAGCTGAGCTGAGCTCAGGATTTGTATTTGAAGGTGGTGAGGAGGGACAAGGCGTTACTGATATGCCTCACCACAACCGCAACACTCTTCCTCACCTCTTGCTTCACCTTCGACCTCACCTTCCGACCAGCGCCGCCGCTCAACCCATCGCTGCAAGTCATAGCATCGGTCTCTGCAGCACTCACCCATGTTTTGATACTATGTAACTGTGTTCACAATATGAATACAAATATTAAATTTAACCCAATCTACCTTAGCTTATTTAAAGGGTTTAATTAAAATTGATAATTACTCATTGGACCTTGGACCACTATAATGTCAACATAATTTCATTTATAAAAAATGTTAAAATTATTTGATTAAATATATATTTTTTTAGGTCTCTAGGTTGACTTTCGTATTTAAAACTTATGGTCAAACCAGAAGTGTACGAAGATCATGTCTTTTATATTTTTTTAGTTGATTTTAAGTTTATCGGAGGTAGAATAGTGTTTATAATATGAATTTGAATAAAATTTACGAAAACATATAAATTTAAAATTTTTGGGCTTAAGTAGAAGTTTAAATAACCTGAAAGTTGGCATCTTTAGCACGACTCAAGCTTTTGAATCCGGCGATAGCTCTATGGAGCTCGTCGGTAGAGTCTTTGAGATTATCAACACAATCTCTAATAACCTTAGCTTCATAGGTAGACATCTTTTGGCGAGATAACTTGGAGATTATGGAGGTGGCATCTCGTGTAGTTTTGAGAGAAGAAGCCATGGCCGCACGACAGAACTCTTGTTGTGTTTTTTTGGTTTGTGAAGCGTGTAAAGTGAGGGAGATCTCGCAAAGGCGTGGATACGGCGTCGTTTTGCAAGCCTTTTTGATGTATGGTTTCACTGGACGGATAATGGAAGAAGAAGAAGCCACGACGGAGGTGGTGAACGTAATTGAAACGAAAAAAAAAAGGGTTAGTAACGATTTTAGGATTTGAAATTCCATATCAATTAAGCTATGTAGATGATCATGAAGATGAGGAAGATTATTACGATATTTATAAAGATATTAACTTAGAAATTAAGACATGCAAAACAAATACATTTAACGGTTGAAAATGTAACTGTCTTTGTAAGCTTTAAGGTTGACTATTTTAAATTATCAAGCCTTTTAAAATAAATTTTTTATTATTATTATTATTATTATAAATTTCACAGCTTTCTAAAACTATTATAGTTTATTATGCTTAAAGCCATAAATACAAACTGGGATTAATTAAATTATTATTTTAATCGAATGGGGTTGACCCAATTAAGGAAGATAAAGTTGAAGGAATCTGAAACGTGCAGGTCTACGGGAGAGGCATGTGCCCGAGCCAAAAAGTCAAGATCAGGCACTTAAAAAGTCAAACAATCCCCAACAATCCAACGTATCACGCACATGTCACGTGCACTTTACAGCACGTGAAACCCGGCTGATCCCACGCTGTTGAGGTACGGCCCGTTCCGTTAATGGCCCACTTCATTCAAGGGCAGTTTGGTCAATATAACAAAATTTAAAATATTTGGAAGAATAAGAAAATTAGATATTTTAAGAATGAATTAAAGGAAAATTAAATAAATAAATAATTAAAATGAAAATATAAAAATTTATAGAGATATTTATAAATGGTGATATTGCTAGGGTTAGGGTTGAGGAGGTCACATGGGTTCGAATGAGATATATGAACCATTTAACTGCAAATTGCAACATATCATAAACTTAAATGCTTTTGTCCATCTAAGATAATGTAACGGTGTCACACCAATATTCTAGACCCTTCTATTTTCAAATATGATATTAAATTTCTATTGATGTGTACATATTTTTTATATTTTCGTGTCTATATGAGTTTAAGATTGATAACAGTGACGTGTTGTAGATATCAATAAGAGTAATGCAGTATATGATTTGCTTACACATATGTTGAGTGAAATCTTAATTTAAATTAAGAGGATAAACTCCACATCGAAGTGATATCTTTTAAAAGAGATATAGCTCGAGGTTTAAAAGATAGCTATAAATTTGCTACATCTCATCAAATATGGCTTTAATATAGTCTATAATCTTCAACCTATTTCTCTTTTTTTTTTCTTTTTTTTGTTAATTGTTAAAAGAATCTTTCTAAATCTATAACTAAAGTTGGAGAAGAACCAAGCGGCGTCGTTTTGGGGGCCACTTTCAAAATAATTTCATACAATATGGTCCATTTTTGGGCCCAAATTCATGTGATCAAGTCGCAAACATTGATGGCCCACCAAAAAAGATATTTTCTTTTTTAAAAAAAGAAATAATAATAGTAGCTTAAATCTACCATTTCCCTACAAAATCAACTTATAAATCCTTATAATAATACATGAGTAGGGGCGGAGAAGCGGCTAGTCCAACTTTTTGAGCAGCCAAGATGTTAAACAACGAATATTTGATGGAATTATGTGCACAAAAAGCCCCTATCTCTCTACTAAATTAATGTTTTTTTTGAAAAAAGTGACTTTTCCCACCAAATGTCACTTTAGTAACTAAAACGTCACAAAAATCAAACATCAAACATTTATAAGTCACAATGTATCACTAATATCTGTTCAGAACGTTAAATACTTTTTTTAATTTTCATAATAGAGTAAAGTTAGATTATGATCCAAATAAAAAACAGCTTTCTTGAGTATGAATGCAAGGGACCCATTAAAACCCTCTAGACCTTTTCCATTGGCCTATTTAAATCAAAACCCATTCTTCACCATTACCAAGAGAAACCAATCAAAAAGAAGGCAAAAAAAGATGGGTTTTTCGATTTGCAAGCAAAGCTTGATTCTTTTGGTAGCAATCTTCCAATTAACACTAAACCCAATCTTCATCCATTCAGCCATCACTCCACAAAGCAGCAGCAGCAGCAGCACTGAGTTCATTAAAACCTCATGCAGCTCCACCACTTACCCTCGTCTCTGTTTCTCATCCCTCTCACTCCACGCCACTTCCATCCAAACAAGCCCTCGCCTTCTGGCCACCGCCGCCCTCTCTGTCTCCATCTCCTCCGTCAAGTCTGCCACTACCCAAATTCTCAAGCTCTCACACGCTCACGGCCTCTCTCCCCGAGATGTCTCTGCTCTTAATGATTGTTTGGAAGAGCTGGGTGACTCTATCGACTCCCTCATCAGCTCCATTTCTGAGATGCCAAAGCTTCGAGGCAACGATTTTGATGTCGTTATGAGCAATATCCAGACGTGGGTCAGCGCTGCCCTCACCGATGAGACCACTTGTAGCGAGGGGTTTCAAGGGAAGACGGTGAACGGCGGCATTAAGGCAGCGGTGAGGTCGAAGATTGTGAACATTGCTCAGTTGACTAGTAATGCTATTTCTTTGATCAACCGGATTGCTGAGCTGCATTAGATTGTTTGGAATGTGTACCATATAGTACTGTGTGGGATTTGAAAGATGTAATGGTAAGTATGAAAATTAGTCAGAAGGAAGAGTTTTATGCATAAATTTTTAATTTTCTGTTTGTACTTAATAAAGTGTTCTGATTATTCTGGCATATCTCTTTCTTTTTAAGCGTTTCAAACCTTAAAGGAAAGTCAAAAAGAGAAAATTCAAAGAATGGACTATCCGTTAGTAATATATTTGAGCCGTTACAAATAATATCAGAGTCAAACATCAGACGATGTACCAGTAAAGAGGCTAAACCCCAAAAGAGGGTGAAAACGAGACAGTGTGCTAGTAAGAACGTTAAATCTCAAAGGGATTGGGAGATCCCACATCGATGGGAGAAGGAAATGAGTGCCAGCAAAGATGCTGGACCCTGGACCCTGAAGGAGTGGATTGTGAGATCCCACATCGGTTGAAGAGGAGAACGAAACAATTTTATAATGGTGTGGAAACCTCTCCCTAGCACGTTTTAAAACCTTAAGAAAAAATCCAAAAAAAAAAAAAAAAACTTTAAAACCTTAAAAAAAAGTTTGGAAGGAAAAACCTAAAGAATACCATATTTGCGAGTAGGGGCGTTATATCCTATCTTTCAACAAATATAAAGAAGAGTTCAATCATTGTCCATTCATCAATTGGAGAATCAAATAGAGAGAAATTACACGCCAGAAAACAGCTAAAATTCTGTACTACGAAAGAAAATGTAAAAGTATAATCAGCATTCAAAAAAAAAAAAAAGAGTACTCAAAAGTCAATTTTAACCTACAATTTCATCAAAATCGCAGTAGGATCCAACCTAAGTGGAACCTTTCTTACATAATTATCGAGAAAAGAGAAATCCAAACTTCCTTTTGAACTATTTTTGGATTCAGAATCGAGAAGTAACAGTAAAGAGATTTTCTGGTCGTTAAAGGACAACAGTTTGGTACAGAATAACTTAAGAAGAGCGTTTTGGAGGAGACATGTTACCAACGAGGGAAATCACTGTCCTGATTGCAAATATCTGAAGCAGGGCTCCTGAATGGAGGCATATCACAATTCCTGCGTTAGTTCATACTTATTGACTCTGAAAACCAATGAAGATAACATGTAATAAACAACCCACCAAGAAAAATGCGGATCGTCTCCAAAAGTTCAAGCTTCTTTGTCTGCCAATTACTCAGATCCTCAATTCCCTAAATGGTTCATGAGGTTCAAAGTTCAGTCAGAATGGAGAATAAAGCATTCGGAACAGACATCACCCCACGGAAGCTATGATCAAAGCCCGTAGAGTTATAAATATAATCAACCAATCAAATTGAAGCCCCCCAACCATTTTCATGTATAGATGCCAATGGTGACAAAGAAACGATGAATCTTTGGAGTCTCGACAACTACACTTATATAAAGTCTACTTTAATTTTCATCGAATTCAATTTCCCGTTCTCATTGCTATTACTTCTACGACTAGTCAGCATAAATAACAATTCCATAACATTTTCATTTGATTTCTCTCTTATTTAGAGCATCAAATTAGAAAACGAATCAGTTTTCCTTACCTCAAACGTATAATTTCCCTGAGAAACATTAACAAAAAGTAGTAGGAGCGCAAGAGATGATGCAATCATATAAGCTTTCAAGAAACTTGCACGGCTACGCCTACGACCTTCAATAGAACATTGGCAAAAAAATCAATCATTACAGTTGAAACAGACAAAGATGTGTAAGTTAGCTAAAAAAGAAGTAATAATATAATTAGCAACCTAGTTCTCCTAGGAACAACGAAAGGAAACCAGTGACAGCAGATGAAATTGCAAGTTTATCAGGAGTCTCCCTCTTTGATGTCAATATAAACAAGTAGACTATTCCACATAACTGAATGACAACCTGCAGTATAATCCAACAGACCCAATTAGGGTAGAACAACAAACAGTCACGAGAGGTCCAGAGATAAGCAACGGCTCCCATGAAATTGTAAGTTTGTCAGGGTCTCCCTCTAAAATCTTTAGCATTTACAAATTTCAATAGAGGAACTAGGAAAATTAGTAAACAAGAAAGATATTCCAGTCGGTCACATCAGAGTTGAGAGAAGTAGAAGAAAAGATAGAACCAACTATTACATGAAATTCTTATTGATCACCAATTATAGGCCTTCATGATACTAAGGTAAACAACATCAGGAATCAATAAATCTCTCCTAAGGTCAGCTCTACATTAAACTCACATCACAAGAACTAGGAAATCACTGATCTGGATGTCCTGGTAGAAGTCATTCACATAAAGAAAGGCTTTATCAGACTACTACCTGATGGAAAATGTCGCCCAATTTTTATGGGCTTTAAAGAGTTTTTTTCCTCGAATACGAACATAAAACTCACTAATAGATCTACTTATCTACTGTTTGCCATAAATTAAAGCAAAGTTTGGAGGATTTCGTGATAACAAAGGCAAGAAACAAAAGTAAAAGCATCGAGAGTCCAATTAGAAGATATTGTTTCATAACAACAATGAAGCAAAACACGCTAGAAGATGTGAACAAAATTTACTGTAAAAGCAATATAATGCGTGTACCTGATTTAAAATCAGCGTATATAAACGAGATTTTCCTTTGGCAACCTTTTGATACCCTATAATTAGAATGACGCGTCATAAGAACCGAAATTGATTCCAATAAGACAAATAAAATAGCCAAACAAATCCAATTTCGTGTTGCAATGATTGAAAAACTAGAGCAAACTATCCTCTTCCACTAAGCCGAAGAGCTGAGCAGAAATAGGACATCAATGAGGACCAAAAAAAGACGAACAGCGAAGTTTTTCTTCTCCATATCGATCAACTTTTTTGTTCTATACATCACATGGTTGCTCAACAGCCAAATGAAAATTAGGAGAAAAAAGTGAGGAAACTTACGAGAATCGACAACCATGCGATAGGCGAAATCAGAGCCATCGGTTCCAGACGGCCTTCCAGCAGCCGATTTCCTTTGATTCATCGTCTTCGTGGGCACTGGACTCCGAAAATTCGTACCTTCGACTTCCACCCACGACAGACGCTTTCCTTCCTTCCGGACCTTTTTAGCAGGGTGTGCACGAGGTTTGGTTTGGTTCGGATCTGGGCCAATCAAACCTCGGTTTAGAATAATATAAACCGAGAAACCGGCACATCATCAAAACCGGTCCGGCCGGAAAGTAGAAAGTGACTACATAAAATTAAATTTTATAAAAGGAATTTAAAAAATTAAACACAATTTTAAATTTAAAAATCTATTATATTAAACATGTAATTAAAATTACCGTCTGACAAGTCAGTACTAACTCAGTCGGTACTAACTCGTATCTATCTCCCATCTACATGAGTCAAGTCTTTGCATCTCAATTCTCGCATCAAAGCTCATTTTGACTCAACTCTAAAGTCAAATAAACGACTATTTGTCAATTTTTTCTATGCTCATGAAAGAACGGTTCATATAAAATATATGTTGGAATTAATTTAATCCAGCATAATCCATGGATTTTGTCAATCAAACATTGTGTTTTTAAGCATATTTATGTTGTCAAAGTTGATTAAACCAACACGGTTTTGATGTCTTCAACTCCATGTGACAGTGTTAATGCAAAAGTCATAGATGGAAGAAAGTCAAAGAGCGGTGTATTGTTTTATTTAAGAGCACGACTATTTTTTTTAAACAATTCCAAAAAAAATGCAAAGATGGGGTATGGATTTTCCACCCTTAAAAAGAAACTAAAAATATCAATTAATACATTTTAATATATTAAATAAAAACATATTTCGAATTTAAATGAATTCAAATGAGTTAAATATATATTAAAATATCTTATAATATTTAAATATGATTGGTATGAGATAATATATTTTAATGTAAATTATTAATTGATAAAGATTTTCCAAGAGTTCTTTCTCAGGTTGAGTCAAAGATCTGCGAATCTCTTAAGAAAATGCAATTACATCTATAAACTTCTTCAATCCTTCGAGATTTTTTTTCAAGAGACTCCCACAAGATTTGATCTTGTGTTCGAGTCATAGTAAGAAAGATCTCATGAAATGTTAGAAGAATTGAATACTTCAAAGTGTCTTGCAAATTAAAGTTTTTAAAGTTTTTACTCTCGTATTTATTATTTAGATGGATGAAGAGTTTATTTCCTGACATATGACATAGGTAATGACATTATATTTGACTATTGGTGCATCATATACCTTCTTTTAAAAAGAAATCTCTATTACAAAAGTTAAAGTCAACTCTATATGTACAACTATATGCTTGAAGTTCAATAGAATATGAAGTTGTTTAATTCATCCTTTTACCTCTCTCTCATCTTGTAGGTAGAAAGGGAGGAAGGTGGTGGATAGTTGATTGGCACATGGATAGAAGTTTTGGAGTTTGATTATTCAAATGGTTCAAACACAGCCAACCTGTCTCTATGTCATCCCAATTTGCTCTTCTTCCCTATATAACTAAGCCTCTGAGAGCTACCTTAGCCCTCATCAATACCTACAACGAATTGGGTCTTTCAATGGAGAGGAGTATTCTTGGGGTGTTGTTTTTTCTTCACTTCTTTTTACCGTCTTCTTCAGCCTTCTCCAAGCATGCCTCTAATGGCATTCATTGGTGGTGCACAAAAACCACGTACCCTGAAACCTGCAAGTATTTCTATGGCAATGCCAACAATCCTCCTCCCAAAGACATGTCTGAGTTCAAGAAAATGGCGATCAAATTCGCCATGGATGGAGCTTTGAGTGTCGAGAGGCACACTAAGAGAGTCGGTTCAAGGTGTCGAAATCATAAGGAAAGGGTTGCTTGGGCTGATTGCTTGAAGCTCTACCAAAACACCATCTTTCAGCTCAAACGCACTCTAGAGTCCTCTACTAAATCTACTGAATTTGATATCCAAACCTGGCTTAGTACCGCCCTTACCAACGTTGAAACGTGCCGCACTGGGTTTGCTGAGCTGAATGTTGTGGACAATGTATTGCCGCTGATCACATCCAAGAATGTCACAAAGCTGATAAGCAATAGCTTGGCGGTTAACAATGCTTCAACTTGGCAGGGGAAAGAGACATATAAACAGGGTTTTCCAAGTTGGCTTTCAGGTGGTGATAGGAAGCTGCTGCAGT